TAAATGCATCAAACATCAAGTGTATGTACACATATTCATGTACAGTTGAGGGTCTCTCCAACCATGTCGCACAAAAGTTTACAAACTTATTCGAATTTTTTTTTTTTTAATTCTCAAAAGACATCAATTGTCACTTCATTTGAGTGCATCAATTATACTTATTACGTTTCCCTCCGACAAGATACACTTCCACTAGTTACAATTTCTTTCTCCTTAAAGACTTATTATCATCCTGAAAGGGTACATTTTTGTATAACTACAAATCAACGTGCGGGGATTGTAAAATGTTGTGCCAAAGGTGGACCAACTGATAATGTTTTTTGTTCTTGTTGTTGTTTAGAGCATTGACCCTTACCCGCATATACAATTAAAGAAACCTCTCACTCTCATCATGAAAGAGTAGGTAGCATACGTACAATTGAATTTTGTCGATCAAATGAAATGTCATAATTGTACCTCTTACGATCTCTTATTGTATTATAAAGGTTCACAAGACGAAACCTATATCTTATGAGGATTTCTCGTCATCATTCTTAGGTATATCACTGCAAAATTGTTGAGCTACATGTTTGCCTTTGAAGGGTTGTGTCAGAGGTAATTCGACTGAAGACACTTCTGGTATGTCGTAGGAGAGGGGGAATATGCGGAAAAATGTCTGAACTGAACCCGAACATGAATTGTCAGTTGGGGTGATGACGTCCCAAGGCAAGCGCCGTCTGAAGGAACCTTATTTTCGTCGTTAGTTTTTAAATTGAGTTTTTAAGATCTTGTGTATGCCTTCTCTGTCGTTCGTGTTTTAAAATAAAATCGAGTTTTCGATTATGCCTTGTCCTATCTCGTGTCATCAACAACTGCTTCCGCGTTCATATTCAATAAAGATTAGTTGTGAGAATCTTTTATCATGAGTGTCTTCGGAAACTATAATTCGACATTTATGTCGTAAGATCATTGGAAGTCTTGCAATCATAGTGGCATAAAATAATATGTTGGTTTGGTACATGCGTGTCGTTTAATGTCGCAATAAGATGATGGGAGATAATCTTTATAATTTTCACAGTTTTCAAAGGTTGCGGATTCCATTTGTTGTTTCTCGTCTTTTTATTCAACTCTTCCATGAGTTGATGGACATATTTCTTTTCGTTTTGACATCTTCGATTCCTATACTAATTGGATGGAAAAAAATAAAAAAATAAAAAAATTATCCCTCTGATAATTGTTCCGTGTTGTTTTTATAGAAAAACAAATTTCCTCTCCATTCTTATTTATTTTATTTTTTCCCTTTGACAAGCATAGCATTTTACATGACGGCCTGGTTATTTTAACATTTTTTTTTTTTTTTATCGTTTCTTCATTTTTTCTTTTTATTTGTCCTTTATCATTTTTATTTTTTATTTATTTTTTCTTTTTTCTTCTTCGACCAATTTTTATGTCAGAAGTAGGAGTGGATAGTTCGAGGTTTTACTTTGTTCAAAGCAGGGTTTGACGATTTTGTTTGTTCTCCAATTGATTATAACTTGGGTGACACATACGTTCATTGTTTTGTGGTCTATCATTCTGGATTGACTAAGTCATTCCTGGACAATCCGTCATTTATATGGTGTTTTTCTATCAATAAGGATATTATGAGTCAATGTTTGGTCGAGTACAAGCAGACTAAGTTGCAAAAGGTAAGATAATAAAGTGTCAAAGGTACTATAGGTAATACTTACTGCCCACCAAAACATAGGGGCATTTCTAGGTGGAGTCCAATTTGTTCAATATACTGATAATGTAGTACTGTTGGCGGAAAAAGGTTCTTTAGTGTTGCCAACCTTCTTTTGTGACGCCTTTTATCCCCAACCAATTTTAATCTTCGAAGTACAGTCAATTGGATCGGTGAGATAAAAAAAAATCGACGAGGGGTTGAAGCACTATCAAATCTTAAGTGAAACCTCCTTCATTATTAATGAGATGTTTTCAATTTCGTTTTTGAATCGGTAATATATTATATGACATCTTAGGGATTTCATGTTGTAGCCGTCAGATGTAGAGGTACAGATGCTCGACTGATCAAGGGATCCATTGAAGATGGACGGTACGACCTCAAATTCAAGCAGATGCTTAACTTCGTTACGTTTGAATTAAACACTCCTTTGTTTGCGTTGTTGGGATTTTTCTTCCTCAAAGCGATGAAATTCTAATGGGCAAGTTTTCAAGTTGTACTCTTGCTTGTCTTTTTTGTGCGCATAGTGAGTTCACATTTTTATTGTCTCTTGGGCGTGATGCGAAATTGTTGCATGGTGCCCGACTGGTTTATGGTTTTGTTTTTTTTTTGTCGTTGTAATTGTGATGATTAACAGTTGTTTCTCGTAGTCAAATTATTTTGCACAATTTTCAACAATGTTATGATTGTTATTTTCTCTCATAACGATCAGTGAGGACGACTATTGCGGTTTTTTATAATGCGTTGTTAAAATCTCAAACAATTCACAAAGTTTAGGATGTTTTACCGTGCATAAGAACCAATACAATGCTTATGGCGGTCAGATTTCATTATAGAGTGTACAAGTTTTTATTCTTATTCCAACCGACGAAAAAAAAATGGCGGTGATCATTTAATTTCAACATCGATCCCGACACCTTACTACTGTTTATGTTGTGGAGTTAACCTTCATGGTTTCTGTAAAATTCGAGTTATGGTTTCGAGTATACCTAAAAAATTGTTTTGACTATACTCTACAAAAATTCGAGGAAGTTTCAATAACAAATTGGACCACCTATTGGACTTATCTGTTTTGTTCGTCTCTTACGTGTTTTTCTGGTCGCTTTCGTGCAGTACGTTTCAATAGTATAACCTATTTGGTTTATTTTGTTTTCTGCATTCGAAATGTAAATCTGTTGAATTGTACGAGTTGGATATTTTTTTAAACAATGCTGTCACTTGTCTGTCTCTTAAGTGGATCTGATTTTGTGTTCTCTTTTTTGGTACCTTTGTATTGTCTGTTTGATCCTGACGTTTCTCGAGAAGTAGTTTGTGGTTTTGACGCATGGTGGTCTGAGTGCAACGAATTTAATATTTTTTTTATGGGTATTGGAAGTGACGTTTTTGCGCTAAAGTTGTTACCTACCTTGTTGGTACGCGTATAAAAAAACTTATAGTCGATCTGATTTCCAAGAGACGAAAGACCTCTAAGGAGCTGCTGGCGGCGGGCAGCCGAAACGGGTCGGGTTTCACCAGATGGATTATTCTTTGTCATTATGTTCATCTATTATTTTTTTTTGACGAACTCGAGTTTCAGAAAACTATTTTTTCACCATTGCATACATTCGTTGTCTTTCTCATCTATGTCAACTACCTGCGTCCGTCTGCTATTTGTATTTGTTCATCCTCTTGATCAGTTGTTGCTTGGTCTATTAGGAGTAATGTTTCATAATTGTTTGATTGACAACAATTCTTCGTGTCTGCTCCTGACTGAGGGCATACTTAGATTAGGATTTTTCTATATAGCTCTGGACGCGATTGAGGTCAGATTCATCCATGTCTTACCTTAATTGCAGTCAGATGCATTTAGAAAAGTGCTACAGTATTCCCCCGAACAAAACGCACGTGCGTTATGCTACGGGTTTTTGACACCAACTTCAGAAAACGGGCTTTTAGAAAAAAATCGGCATATGCCTTTATAGCCATGGGCCTGTACTTGGGGCATTAGTCACAGTTGGAGCAAACACATAAATCGAGAAATTGGTCCTTATTAAAAAAAAAAAAAAAAAGTCTCCAGAATGAATCTTCCCATAGAAAACGGAAGTATACATTCTGCATGTCTGGAGTGAGGCCCGGCTGTATGTAGACAATAAAACCTCCACGTTAGACGACGATAGGGAAGCCACACACACATTCACAAAGGGAGAGAGAGAGAGAGAGAGAGAGAGAGAGAGGGGAGCAGTCCGGCCTGTCGTTTCTTGGAGCATGGTGATCCCATTTTCTGGCCGCAATACTTCGAGCTGTCTTCGGCCAGTTGTTTTTCTTGGAGCGCGCGGTAATCCCATTTTCTACGGCGAATGCAGCCAATACGAGAAGAGTCAGGGGAGGTGTGTGTGTGTGTGTGTGTGTGTGTGTGTG